GAAAATCTCTTGTAATCACTCCTGAATAACTACCACGAAATGTTTCAAATGAGAAATGTTAAATTAAGCCAATCAAGCAATTATGTTCAGTTGTTTCCATCATATTTGACACAGATAATATGTGTGAGTAGTTCTCACAATGCTGTGTGTGGATCATCCCACAGAAAGTGCCAACAATTACTTGGATAAGAACTTATGTGAGAGTGATGGTCTATCTCTGTAGATCAAACGAGATACAAAATCAATAAGAGATTCTGAAATAGAACATGCTAGGTTTTCCAAGGGCATGTTAGCCAAACAATTTCAGGCAAGTGTAAAAGCTAAGAAATAACAAATGGAGTAGTTGTTTCCATTCTCAGAAAGTGACAAACACAGTGGGAAAAAACATTGTATAGCAATGAGTTACTGATTTCACAGAAAGATACACAAAATGCTAAGAAAGAAATAACTGAACACGCTTTCCATTGTGTATATTAAACCACAACCAGATGCAAAATGTCATGTGAAATTATATCAGTATAATCTACTATATATTTGAGAGAGTTTGTCTGTGTGTCTGTCTGACTTGTTGTTCAAGAACTCCTTCTCAATGGTAAGAGCTAGGATGACCAAATTTGGTATACAGCTTCCTCTTATCATAACTTAAAGCAATGTAAGGGTTTGGTTGTGTCAGGAAAATGGAATGTGCCTGGAAAGGGATTGCTTCTCATGAAATTATAAGAAAGAGAGACAGAATCACGAGGCAGGTGAAAGGGGCTGGCTAGTGGTATACCCTTTTATTCAGGTCTGCCCCAGCCTCATGCTGCCCACTCCACAGGCACTCATTAGGGAAGGTACAGAAACACTGCTGGCTGTTCCCCTTTGTCAGGAGTGAGGGAAAAGTACACAGTTTGCTTCATTATTCACTCTGGCTGGGAAACATAGGGGGCAGAGAAACCTGGACCTACCCCAGCTGGGGGACATGCAACCCTTCCCCGACTATGCCCACTGCAGCTATAGCAGCCATGGAGAAGTGTTTCTTGCCTGGCCCCAAGCTGCTGTGGTGAGGGAGGGCTGAGGTAGTCCTCTCTCCCTGGGACAGCCTGCATATTGTACCCTCATCCCCAAACCCACCCCAAGCAATCATTTAAATGAAGCATGTACATTTTCATTTTATTTTCGAGAAACTCCCCAAATTAATTAAGGACTCGAGCAAAGCTGGGTAAATCTATATTCTCACACACGTTTCTGTTTTAGAGCTTTATATTGCTACCCATCCCTGCAGTATCTGTGTGCCTGTCATAAAATCAGTAACATTAACAATAGCAAAGTCCCTTATGGATTTAATGAGGTTTTTGGCCCTCCCTTATTGGGGGAAAATTTATTTATATATATATTATTTATTTTTTTGTTGGTAGTAGTTGCTGTGGTTGTTTTTGTTGACGCAAGGGATGAAGGTGTCCAGCGATAGAGCGGCATGGTTCCCTTCCTACCAACACGTGTAGAGGCTGGGACTCCTGGGAAGGCAGCCTGTTCAGTCCCTTCATCTCACTTTCTGGCATTCTCTCATATTATGTCAATTGAAATATTCATACTAATTAGATGTGGTCAGGGGATCCAACAGAATTGCCAGACCTTGGGCAAGCGGGAGGGAGTTGGCTTCATGCTCTCAGAAAGGGTAGGCAGAAGCAGGAGGCTGGGACTAGCCTCCCTCCACCAGCCCCTCAGGGATGTCCACAGCATGCCGCCTAGCACTGTTGGTGATTTAAAGGGCCTAGGGTCCTGGCTGCTGCAGCAGCTGGAAGCCCCGAGTCCTACTGAATCACCGGGCCCTGGGGCAACTGCCCCCCTTCTGTCCTCTGTCTTCTCCCCTCTCCCAGTTGACGAGTTTGGCTGTGGTAGAACACAGGACCAAACTGGATGTGTCCTAGAGGAAATCCTCTCATCACAAACAAATAAAACTTTAATTCTGGGATTAATCACTAGTTCAATGCCTCAGAAAGAAAGAACCAAGCTTGACTCTGAATCCAGCTTGCATGCCTGTATCATTTCTGTATCTGAAGTTAGAAATATTGACCATATTTCAAATACGCTATGTTGGGTTTCACCCCCAACTAGTCCTTCAGATACAATAATGAAAAGCCAAGATGTCCTATTAGCAAAAACAATGGGCCGTGAAAGGGCTTAGTCTTCCTGTGGATGCTCCAGACAGCCTGTGAGTAATGGCTGCCACAGCCCCGCAGGGACATGGATCTGAGTCACCTGGTAGGGGACCCCACACATTTGGAATGCCAATGTTTTTTCACTGGACGACAAAGAGTTCCCACTAGATACAAGAGTTATACAAGGCAGAGGATAGACCCCATCAGGGTTTCCCTCTGCCTCTCCACACAAATTGACACTGGAAAAGACCTGGAAGCAATAACTGAAGTGGAGGGAGAAGAGCTGAGCCCAGACTGGAAGGGCATCCATCTTATGAGTAAGAATACCTGAAGTTCCAAGCTGCATGCCAGTGCAACTGGTTTTGAAGCCTGTCTGTAATCAGCTTGTAACAACATTTATGGTGTTAAATTCTTATTGGTGGCCAATTTTTTTAGTGACTCAAACTTAGTTTGTGTGTTTTCTTTCACTCACTCAGTAATTTGCTTTGTTCTGTTTGCTATCCCTTTGTCACTTAAAATCTGCCTTTTATAGTTAATAATGTTGTTTTGCTTATTATTAAACCCAGTTCGTGCAATTTCTAACTGGGGCATATTTTTATGAGCTCTGCAGATTTTTTGATGCAGTGCAAGGCAGTATTATTTAGGGGGTATCTTCTAAAAGGGGTGTGCACGTGCGTCCTCTCACACAGCTGAGTTCAGCCAGTGTTTGCAGGTGGATGTGACTCTACCTCTGTGTGTGTGCTTCAAAAGACCTAATTCAGCAAAACAGGGAGAGGGAATCAGGCTGGTGGACCAGAAGAGTCTCAGTGGCTTTGTCTACACTGCTGGCTTTTGCTGGCAGAGAGTATGCAAATGAAGCGCTGATTAGCATTTTGTTGTGCTTCATTTGCATAATCTATTTGAGCTGTTTTTGCGCAAGGGATTTTTGCGCAAAAACAAGCAGTGTGGACGTTTCCTTTTTGCACAAGATCCTTATCTCTCTCTCAGAGAGGGATAAGGATCTTGCACAGAAAGGGGTTTTGCGCAAAAAGGAAATGTCCACAACTGCTTGTTTTTGCGCAAAAATCCCTTGCGCAAAAACAGCTCAAATAGATTATGCAAATGAAGCACAACAAAATGCTAATCAGCGCTTCATTTGCATACTCTCTGCCAGCAAAAGCCAGCAGTGTAGACATAGCCAGTGAAACCCCAGTACATCAGGCAGCATCCTGAACGGGGAGGTGTCCTACCTGTCACAGCCTCATCCTTCACCACTTACAGAAGGCATAAAGATTGGGAGAGGAGAAAAATCCCAGGAAGATTTAACAGAGAAAGCTTCAATATCCTTCCAGATCAGAAAGTACAAGACATCACGAGACCTGCTTTTGGGAGTAGAAGTAAAGGGAGATGACAACAGACTAAATTCATCATTGATGATTTCAACAGGATGAATCTGCTCCAATTACAGTGGGTCCAATTTGCTTCTGTGCTGCATTCCCATTATGTCACGCTGGTGCTGAGAAGGGGTGTTAAAGTGCATGGAAACAGCTCCAGGGCTGTGTCTACACTGGCATCCCTTCCGGAAAAGGGATGCTAATGTAGCACGTCGGAATAGCAAAATCCACGGGGAATTTAAATATCCCCTGCGGGATTTGCATTTACATGGCTGCCGCTTTTTTCCAGCTTGGAGATAAGCCGGAGAAAAGCGCCAGTCTAGACGTGATTCTCCGGAAAATAAGCCCTTTTCCGGAGGATCTCTTATTCCTACTTTCAAGTAGGAATAAGAAATCCTCCAGAAAAGGGCTTATTTTCCGGAGAATCACATCTAGACTGGTGCTTTTCTCTGACTTATCCCCAAGCCGGAAAAAAGCGGCAGCCATGTAAATGCAAATGCCGTGGGGGATATTTAAATCCCCCGCGGATTTGCAATTGCGATGTGTCTCATTAGCATCCCTTTTCCGGAAAGGGATGCCAATGTAGACACAGCCCAAGTGTGTAGATTGACTCCCCAGCCAGCAAAGAGCTGCTGACACAGCAGTGTGTGGAGTTCCATTTTCAGCCTCCCTTTGATAGGATGTATGTCAGGGACACACTGTATTCGGGCCAATCTCTACTTTCCAGGGCCCATATGGGGGCCCTGTCACTACCCTTAACTAGTGATTGGGACTGTGCCAATCCAAAACAGCTTCCAAATATATGCAATTGCAATTGAAGCCCCTCTCCCCCACCTCTAATCAACATAATGATAGAGGCACTGACTGGGCTTTTTTTTTTTTAGGCTCTGATTGTTCAGTAATATTAGAATTTGGGACTATATTAGGAAAGTGCATATACAAAACCAAACTTTGCAGCTCAGGTCCATATTTACAGTACTTTCTATTATAGGATTCAGCACAAAAACTACAGAGAAGTGGGGAGAATGTATTTTTACAGGATGTTTGGTTAGACATAATTTATTACAAGGCTAAGTTACTAAGACAACAGCATATTGGTTTACACTGTGCAGACAATTTCTATAACAGAAAAAGTGAGAAACCTATTATTATTGAACACCTTAGAGTCTGCAAAAAACAGAGAAAGATAATTTGAAAGAACTATTTTCAGAGATCCATTTATGCCCATAATTGTTCACCATCCTAAGTCATGAGTTTGAAAAAACAAACTATAAATCACGTTTCATATTTAAAAATAAAATACTTGACTCAGATAATTTCAAGGACAGGCAGCTTGTTAGTGTTGTTCTGACCTGGTCATGGTGAAAGTCCACATGCTTGAAAGACACTAAAGCCCGTGCTGCAGGGACTACAGTACTTACCTGTTTAAACTTAAGCCATGCTTAAGTATACTGCTGTAGAGTAGCCTAAATAAACAGACACTTACGTCATGACTAATGTCTCGTCTCCAGGTTCACTGAGTAGCCCATCTACAAAAACTGATGTACTGGTGAAATTATGCGTACTCCAGGTCTGACCTTCATCTATGCTGAACCTTTAAAGAGAGAAAGATCTTCCATTCATTGCAGCTCTTAAAGAAATATCATCATTACTGTGTTATGTTGGATAAAATTACAAGAGCATTGTACCAAAAGACTCAGGATCATCAATACACAATGGCAAAAATTGTGAATTCTTTGCCTACTTAATGTAGCAAATTAAATGTGACTCTTCCTTCCCCAACATGCCCTGCAACTCAGCATCTCCATTAAAAGATGTCTGTTAAACTGGCAATATTGCTGGATGTCCTCAGCACTGAGGTTTGTCACGGTATGGTCTTGCCATATGTCCAGAGCTTGTTAAGTGATTTAATTTTACCCAGTTGTATTTTATTTAAACTTGACAAACAGTATGTAGTGAAACATGATTAGACAAAACTGCTCAGTTACTAAAACTCAGACAGTGAGAAAAAAGAAGCCAGCCAAACTTTGACCCTTCACAAATTCAGTCATCTGATCAAGTAGTTTCTAAAGGATTGTATTGTGTATATCTTATCAAATGTTGTATGTAAACTGACTTTGAATTAAAACAAAATAGATCAATGTTCTGACTATGCCTTCCCCCCGCAAAGTGCTTGAATGCATTAACATGCAAACATTACTCTCTCTCTCTCTCTCTCCAGTCAATATATGTGTGTGTTTCAGGGTATATGAAATTAGTGTGACACTCCACTATTTCCTTTATAAAAAGAAAGGAAAACAGAAACAATCCCCCTCTAAATAACAAAAAACCCACCCTCTTTGCTTTCCCATATTTCATATACGTATCATATACGTATCATATATTACGTAAAACTGAAGCATTGATCACTTGTATTCAGTACACATACATTACTCTTTTCATAATTCTAGAGGTGATAGCCCTGCATACTATTTCAAAATTAATGTGGGCAATTGTATACTGCCTATACCTAAATCCATCCTGTAGCTATATGTTTATTTATTACTCCAACCTTCATACTCTACATATTAGAGTATGGAGTTAAAATAGTATGGAGTTAAAATAGTTACTTGATTTTAGCAGTGAATAAACTTTAGGCTACTGCAGTCCACACTGGGAAGCTTTTGAATGAACAGTACTAGCCTGATGCAAAACAAATGTTACCATTAATCATGTAGCAAACTACTTTGCCAACAACTCTACTAGGAATCCTTTAATAAAATGTCCACCTGCATTTTGTTGGTTTAATGAATGTTAAATTAAAATGGCTCCACCTGGATTTCTTACACAAACTTACTGAAAAGCTCATTACTGATTAACTCTGAAGTACGATTGAGGTCTTGAAAATAATAACCCTACTATAACTGACTGCAGCATTACTTGAGTATTTTCAGAGGGATAGAAGTGTCTTTGATGGCCACAATGACTCCACCATGGTCCAGATATAAGATGTGATGTTCTTCTTCAAAGACCTAGAAAACAGATAAAAAAGACCAAGCAGATGTCTGGATTGGATAAAAATAAAATACATCATCAAAACATTATTAAAATACTTGTCAAGTTATAACTTTCTAACAGCCTGCTTTTCAAAATAAATTCAAAAGTACATGATTAGTGTTATTCCTACATTATACACATTTATTACAAGACAGTTTTTACTATGTGGATCGAGTTCTCTAGGTTCTGAAGGAAAAGATATTTATGCTGGTGAACTGGGAAATATTCAGATTCAAATCACAGTCAAACAAAACTATCTGTAGGTGAGCTGAGCCCAGACTTGTGCCTTTAATAACACACATTTTTCATTCTTTTCTACTATATATATTTTTCGTGAACTATTATCTTAGTGTATTTTTCATATTCTATATATCTTGCAAAATAGCATGCCTTGAAATATAATTCTAAGAAAAACAAAAAAGTTATTTCTGCCTTTGAGATTCTAACACAGTGTTTCCCAATTTTATTTGGCCACAGAACCCTTACAAAAAAAAAAAAAAAAAAAGCCCCCCCAGAATTGGGGAAGAAAAGAAACCCCCCCCCCCCCCCCCGCCCCCCACAAAACACAATGTCTCTTTCAGAGGGGGCAAGGGAGTGCTGCATTCTCGCGGAACCGTTACTTTCACTTTGCGGAGCACCAGTTGGGATACACTGTTCTAGCATAGTCTTCAAACTATACAGAACATGATGTAAATTTTATATTTTTTCAGGATAAAAAGCTGCTATCGATACTCAGTTTGTCTAACTATTGAACCTGCGCAGTTTAACAATGCAGTCACTTTATAACTTTTTAACGCTCAGGATATATGTGACATTGGCTTGGTGATACAAGTAATGAATCACAACTAAGATATGGTGATAAAAAGACAGTTACATGGTCCATAACTGGTGTTCTTCAAGATGTGTTGATCATGTCCATTCTACATTAGGAATGTGTGCTCATCGTGTCCACTGGTGCTGGAAATTTTTCCCTCAGGACTAGCAATGGGGGAGTGGCTCGGGAGACCCTTGGATTGGCACCTCCATGGCATGGTATACGGGGTGCCAAGTGCTCCCCCACTCTCAGTTCCTTCTTGCTGGAAACTTTGCCAGTGGGAAAGAAGGGCCAGTTTTGGACTTGAACTGAGCAACACATTTCAGAGAACACTAGTTACGGAACAGGCAATTGTCTTTTCTTTTTCAAATGACACTGAGTATGTTTTCAGAGAACTATCCACAATGACTCCAAGATCTCTCTCTTGAGTAGCTGTAGCGAAATTAAGTCCCCATCGTATTGTATATATAGTTGGATTATTTTCTTCAGTGTGCATTACTTTATATTTATCAACATGAAATTTCATTTCCCACTTTGTTGCCCAATCATTTAGTTTTGTGAGATCTTTTGAAGCTCTTCACAGTCTACTTTGGTATTAGCTATCTCGAGCAGTTTGGTATCATCTGCAAATTTTGCTACCTCACTATTTACCCCTTTCTCCAGATGATTTATAAATGAATTAAATAGGATTGGTCCCAGGACAGTCTCTTGGGGAACACCACTAGTTACCTCTCTTCATTCTGAAAACTTATCATTTATTCCTCCCCTTTGTTTCCTGTCTTTTAACCAGTTATCAATCCATGAAAGGACCTTCCCTCTTATCCCATAACAACTTACTTTATTTAAGATACTTTGATGAGGGACCTTGTCAAAGGCTTTCTAGAAATCTAAGTATACTATATCCACTGGATCCCCTTTGTCCACATGTTTGTTGACCCCCTTAAAGGACTCTAGCAGATTAGTAAGGCATGATTACCCTTTACAGAAACTATGTTGACTTTCTCCCAACAAATTATATTCATCTATGTGTCTGACAATTTTATTCTTTACTATAGTTTCAACCGATTTGCCTGGTACTGATGTTAGACTTACCGGTCTGTAATTGCCAGGATCACCTCTGGAACCCTTTTAAAATATTGGCGTTACATTAGCTATCTTCCAGTCATTAGGTACTGAAGCTGATTTAAAAGATAGGTTACAAACCACAGTTAATGGTTCTGCAATTTCACATTTGAGTTCTTTCAGAACTCTTGGGTGAATGCCATCTGGTCCTGGTGACGTGTAACGGTTAAGTTTATTAATTTGTTCAAAAACCTTCTCTAATGACACCTCAATCTGGGACAATTCCTCATATTTGTCACCTAAAAAGAATGGCTTAGGTTTGGGAGTCTAACATCCTAACATCCTCAGCTGTGAATACTGAAGCAAAGAATTCATTAAGCTTCTCTGCAATGACTTTATCATCTTTGAGTGCTCCTTTAGCATCTCAATCATCCAAGGGCCCCACTGGTTGTTTAGCAGGCTTCCTGCTTCTAGCGTACTTTTAAAAAAATGCTATTAATTTATATTTATATATTTTTACACTTAATTTGATAGAGTTTATGCTCCTTTCTATTTTCCTCTCTAGGATTTGACTTTTAGGATTTGATACAAAGTAATATTTATCAAGTTAATATGCAATGGTATGTGACATACACAGTTATTTCCAATTTTAAGCATAGGGAAATATTAGCTCTCTCACACACTATCGTGGTCCAGCTGTAGGTCAGTGCAGAGTTTTTAGTAGCAATTTCTATAAACAATACCTATGGTTAATGGAGACTATATATGAAGAAAATTAAAATAATCCCTTGAAAGCCCAAAGCTGAAATAAATAATGAAAGAATGAGGAACGAAAAGAAAAAAAAGGCAAAAGCTTTGTCTGAATCACTAGAAGCACTAAATATATAAGTATCTTTTCCTCTCTATAGCTGATATTTGTCATAAGAAAATGTCTGCTGCCTTCAGCTGTCTGCCAAACTTCATTTAACATAGCAGTAGGAGATAAAGTGAGTATTAATACACACTCCTTGAAAATTAACACACATACTTTCTACCCCTTATACTACTTGACAAAGGAAAGTGAATGAGACGTTTGCTTTACTTTGCCTTCAAGAATGAGAACTAACAACGCTAAAAGCTTCTCTTTACTCATTTTGAAGCCATATCCGTGATAGAATGAACTGTAGAAGAAAACCCTTAACCCCCAAGCACATTCGCATTCAGTCCAAGGAATGAGGAAGCATTAATAAAGCAGGAAGACCCCAGCTAGGACCTTGGCTGCATGTCTTTCTCTCACCTAATAAGAACATATTTAAAAAGGAATCCTGCAGTCTCAAGAATCCTGTTGGCTGTCTTCCATTTACAGATCTACACCAGATATGAAAAATGTATAGACCTGTCCACTTATTACATACAGCTGCATATTTTAGACAATTCAGTAATGGATAGACACTAATTTTAGATGCACTTCAAAAGGATCAAACCAGTTGCAATCAGATAAGCAAAGTTTGGATTCCACTCCAAACTTTCTCTAAACTTCTGTTCAAATTAAAGTACTTGCCAGATGCACTGGTGCAAGAAGTTTTTCCCCTCAGTTGTATCTGTAGGAGACCAGTAAGATCTCCTTCTCAACTGTGCCTAATTGTGAATATCTTGTATCTTAGCTCTTAGAAAGTTTCTATACAAACTTTTAAAGAATTAGATACAATTAGGCACAGCTGAGAAGGAAAACTTGCTGAGGCAAGGAGACATTCCAGCACCACTGCTGGTGGTATGAAGGAACTAAGGGAATGGGGGGACAGTGACACCCCTTCTACAGGCACATACACATTCCACTCCAGAGGACAACAGAACCAAGCACGTAAGGATACCACTAAGGGAAAAACTTCTGGCACTAGTGCATGTGGTGAGCACACACACTTACAATGAAATGAACATAAAAAATCACTCAAAGGAGAGTGAAACAGTATATGCTCGGATGCATAGTCCTCCAAGAGCTATACCTCCATACTGAAGAAAAAGGGAAACTGATATCTGTATGATTTTATCCAAATTAGGTGAATTTCTCTGGCCCTGGACAAACTGGCAATACAGCTCTAGTTTGTACAGGTTGAGTAGCACAATTTTACACTATATTCTACTTAAAGCTGTGATTCCATTCTGCTGATACTGGTTACTTGTTTAATTTCACCTATTCTTTTTGTATCTATTTTTGGTGTAAATACTCTCTATAAAAATGGACTGGAATTCATAGCAATAAACAAGATCTTAATTAGAAACAGGAACATTATTGAGTGAATATCTATGGAAGAATATCAGAACGAGTACTGATTCAAAAGTTACTGAAGTCAGTAAAAAGACTGCCAATGAATTCAGTGGGCATTAGTTCAAGTCCTTAGGGCTTAGTTCTAAAGTCTCTATTCAGTCTGGCTATGTCTACACTGTAGAGCTTTTCTGGGATACCAGGGTTATCTCGGAAAAGCTATGCCACATCCAAGGTACACGTCCGCTTTTTTGGAACAATTTCTGAAAAAGTGGGCACATTCTTTTGCATCCCTATATTCTTCATTGTATGAGGAAGAAGGGATGTTCTGAGTGAGGAGGTTTTTACGAAAATAAGCGGAAAAAGATACACAAATTGCGGTTTGCAATTTGCATACCTTTTTTCGACTTTTCTTTGCATTCTAGACATAGCCTTTATGACTGCAGATCAAGGAAGGACTTTTGATCTGGGCCTATAATATGCATGTTCAATAATTCATATAACTTATAAGATTCCCTATAGTTTAAACATAGAAGGTAAAATTCGGCTTCACTGAAGTCAATGAGGGTATGACTACACTACAAACTTAGTTCGAACTAACTTTCATAGGCGCTATACTAGCGCTCCGTTAGTACGATTAAGCCTAGTTCGAACTAGCTAGTTCGAATTAAGGGGTGTGTAGCCCCTTAATTGGAACTAGTGAGAGGCTAGACCTCCCCAGGTTTCCCCGGTGGCCACTCTGGCCAACACCAGGGAAATTCTATTGCCCCCCTCCTGGCCCCGGACCTCTTAAAGGGGCACGGGCTGGCTACGGTGCCCGTGCCAGGTGCAAGCCTGCCAGCACCCAGCCAGCAGAC